GCTTAGGTTTAGTATTGGGAAGGTATGGTTCAGTTTATATTAATATTAACTATATTAAAAGTTAATCAAATGAAGTCCTCGAAACATATAGCAATGTAAGTATGAGTATATGTGTGTATGTGTGTATGTATGTATGTGTGTCCGTCTGTTCCACTGATATCTAAAGAACCACTCATTGGATTTTGATGAAACTTAGTTGCTCTGGGCCAATGCGCAGATTTGATTAGTTTTTGGTAAAAATCCGTGCATATTAATTACCTAATTTGCATAATTAGTCAATTTCGTTTTTTTTCACTGATATCTCAAGTACTAAACATCACATTTCAATGAAACTTGGTACATAGATGCTCTGAACTAATGCGCAGATGTGATAAGTTTTTGATAATAATCTGTGTATAATAATTACCTAATTTGCATAATTAGTCAATTTTCGTTTTTTTCACTGATATCTCAAGTACTAAACATCACATTTCAATGAAACTTAGTACATAGATGTCATAGGACACTGCACAGACCTGATAGTTTTTAGGATAATATCTGTACATATTAATTACCTAATTTGCCTAATTAATTTTCAGCTTTTCTAATATCTTGAGTATTAATCATCACATTTCAATGAATCTAGAACTATGCGAGATCCAATTAGTTTTCAGTAAATATTTATGCATATTAAATCACCTAATTTGCATAATTAACCAATTTTCAACTTTCACACTGATATCTCAAGTACTAACCATCACATTCAAATGAAACGTTGTACATGGATGCTATAGGACAATAGACAGACCTAATAAATTGTGAGTTAAAATCTGTACATATCAATTACCTAACCAATTTTAGGCTATCACACTGATATCTAAAGTATAAATTATTCCATTTCAATGAAACTTTATATAGTACCAAGATGCTCTAGGACAATGTACAAACTTGATTAGTTTGTGGTTAAAATCTGTTGATATTAATTCCCTAATTAGCATAATAATTCATAATTTTGTGGTTTTAATCACATTTCAATAAAACTTGGTACATAGATGGTTTGTTACATTGCGCAGACCTCATTAGTTGTACACTCAAATCTGTTTATATTAATTTTCTCATTTGCATAATTAGTTTTCAGCTTTTCCATCAATATCTCAAGTACAAGTAATTTCGAATTATTTTTAATGTGTCTCTAATACTCGCAGCACATGGGAGTTCTTCTAAGCTTTCTTTGATTTTAATTATGGTGTTTGAAGGGTTTATTAGTCCCCGTTTGGACGAAGTCTGAAAACGAGGACTACTAGTATAATTTGGGTTTGTTCCGTTCGTCTGTACGTACATCCGAAGCTATATCACGGACACCATTGACGGATTTCATTCAAACTTTACATGAAGACAATACATAATGTCTTACATATGTGCGTCAAGTTACTTTATGATCGGAGCAAAAATGGCCGACTGGCGGACATTTTGGATGTAAAATTTACTATTTCTGATACCTAAACCTGTCCGCAGCAGTTTCTCAGAGATGACTGGGCCAATTTGGACCAAAGTTGGTATGATGATCATACATATTGGGTTGTAGGTGCGCGTCATTTTTTGTGTGTGATTCAAACAAATATGGCCGACTGGCGGCCATCTTGTTTTTCATGGTACCCATACTACTTTATCTTGAATGCAATGAACGTTTCTGTTTAAATTGTGTACAAAGATAGTATACCAAGAGATACAACTACACCCTCATTATTTTTGTGATTTGATTCAATATGGCTGACTGATGCCCAAATTTCATGTAAAAGTGCTAAATCGTCATTTTTACATGTCCTCAGCTGTTTCTCAGAGATGACTAGGCCGATTTGGATCAAAGTTGGTATGGTGATCATACATATTGGGTTATAGGCGCACCTTATATTTTTTCCGTGATTCAAACAAATATGGCCGACTGCCGGCCATTTTGTTTTTCATGGTAGCCATGCTACTTTCGCTTGAATGCAATGAACATTTCTGTTTAAATTTTGTACAAAGATAGTATAGCAATATACATCTACATGAACATTATTTTTGTAATTTGATTCAATATGCTGCCCAATGTCCAATTCTCGTGTAAAAGCACTAAATCATAATTTTTTACAAATCCATCTCCTATTAATAGTTTCAATCTAATCTCAATGGCTTCATCAGCATCAAATTGATATGTCAGATCACAAAATGTTGAATGGGGACTGTGTCATTAACAATGACTTGTTTTGTAAGTTCTGCATGTGAATGATCACACGTCATGTGAATCATAGTATTAATGTACTGTACGAATAAATTAACTACTGCATGTTGATGTCTGTAGCAAGCACCTTTAATTATTGCTGGGAATCACGAACAGAAGAAGAAATATCTTGGACGAATGGTGGAAGAACCGCTAATGTGTGTAAGTAGAAATTCTTTGATACTAGTCAGCTTTGATCTGTATATTGATGCTGTCCATGTGGCAATTTTTAAATAGTTGCAACCATTACAGTCACATGAATTCAATAAAAATCCCATTCTATGCATGCCAAGATTGCTATTCTTGTACATATGCAGATCATTTTAGTCTGAAAATTATATTATTGACAACTTATCGAAAACCACCAGCCTGATTGCTTTGATTGATATGTACATATACCCCGGTAACTCCTATCAGATTTGTTCATTTTGTGAGGATATATTTGTCAAATTGGAAGAAAACATAATATCAACTATTTTTTTAAAAAACTATTAGCTTGATAATGTTGATTCTGAAAATCAACAGATACATGCACAGTAATTTACTTCAAAAATTGTGAGTGGTCATATTTTCCCTTAGGCATATGCTGCAACAGAGCCTGGTGGTGGATCTGATGTTGCCAGGATGTGTACTTTTGCTGAAAATAAAGGTGACCACTACGTGATAAATGGACAAAAAATGTGGATTACAAATGGAGGAAAAGCTAACTGGTATTTTGTATTAGCTAGAACAGATCCTGATCTAAAAAGACCAGCAAGTGGTGCCTTTACTGGGTTCATTGTTGATAGAGATACGCCTGGTGTTACACCTGGTAGAAAGGTATGTACATGTATGTGCATGTGGATATTATGTTTCTAATAACTAACATCATCACTGATATTGTCTGATACAAAATAATGAGGTATATTGGAAAAAAATTGACCTAAATATTTAAAAAATTTCTCAATGTAATGGAGTGTTTTTATTTGTTTTCAATTAATCAGTGTGCAAGGCTCCATCAATCATATATTTAGTCTCATTTTAGTTCTAAAATTTCATCAAGAGCAAGTATTTTTTCTATGTATTTACGAACGGGATCTCAGTCATATTTGGATGGGTGGATGGATTTTGTTCAACTGCCATACATGGACATATTTGAAATTGATGAATGTTATGTTGTTTTTTTAGCTCGGATTTTCTGACAAAGTCAGAAATTGGGGACTATTATTTTAGCTAGATTACACACATCCATCCATGAATCTGTTCAGAGCTGTTTCTAAGAAATGCTTTGATCATCTCATTCAAACACAAAGTCCATGTAATTTTTCCTTTCAATTAAAATATGGCTGACTGGTGGCCATGTTGGTCCTCAAATTCACTAAACTCTTCAACATATAATCAGAACTGTTTTACAGAGATGAACAGAGCAATGTCATTTTAATTTTGTGATTTTAGGTTTAGGTGCCTGGTATTTCTTTGGGAGATTCTAGTAAAAATGGCTGACTGGTGGCCGTTTTATTTGTTTTATAGTGTTCCTGATAATTTCTCTGAAATGCACATGACATATACATCTTCATTTTGTAGTGATCCAATTTAATATTGCAAACCCCATGACAATTTGATGTGTCCGAAGCTGTTTCTCCCAGAAAGGTGATTTTGCCCAAATATAGTATGGTGATTGTGTTTTATAGATTACAGGTGTGTCCTATTTTTTGTCATATGGCTGACTGGTGGCCATTTGTTCCATAGACATTTCTGAAAATAAAACTTCACAAATACATCATGTCACACATACGCACATGCATTTGTTTTGAGAATCATTTTATTCTTTTTACTCATTCTAGAACAGGATAAAATCAACATCCACATAAGTTGTACATTTTAGCATGTTCTGATTCAAAATAACCATTTCAGTTTTGTTTGCTATTGGACGAGAGGACTGTGTCATGTCAATGATTTGTTTATTTGTTGTTCACTTTTTATTGCATTTATGATTGTTGCTGAACATTTTGATTAATAAGTTTAAATTTGATGTGATAATCGTTTTACTTTTATTAGGAACTCAACATGGGACAACGCTGTAGTGACACTCGTGGTATTACTTTTGAAGATGTTGTTGTACCAAAGGAAAACGTCTTGTTAGGTGAAGGAGACGGTTTTAAGATTGCCATGGCTGCCTTTGATAGAACAAGGCCACCAGTGAGTATAAAATGAGAGTGACATCACATGCACTTGCCTACATGTACTGCAACACACCCAGGTCCATTGAATCGTCCTTGATTGTGCCATTACAACAACCTGAATTCTGGTTTAATAGTCTTTGAATACATTGTCACTATTCATTGACTTACCAAATGATTGCTATACATAAGTATATTCACAATATACAATTTTTAATATATCTTACACTGTAACGATCAAAGGTCGGCAAGGGGCATTTTCGTAAGCTGTAATCAATTGTTTTTATTTTCGAAATAATGTAAATTAAATAAATAAAAATCGTAATTTCGTAGACATGGGCAAGGTTAAAATGTAATCAGCTATTTTATTTGTTCATAATTTGTATCTTATTTTTTGTTAAAATGTAATTATGAATTTGCTTTATCTGTAAAGTGTAAAAACTTATTTATTACTATAAATGGAACTTTGCATTTATTTCCAGTAAAAACGAAAAATTCATTTTTTATTTCCTGTAACCTAAACTTATTTTTTACTGTAAATGGAACTTTGCATTTATTTCCAGTAAAAACGTTAAATGCATATTTTATTTCCTGTAACCTGTATCAGCTATCCCCCCTTGCCCCCCCCCATAACAACATTTGCAAAAAATCTTTAAAAAAATATAATATTTTATACAGACTTTACAAGACAGATGAGTATGACCAGTTGTACATACCACTTTTTGTAACACATGCACTTATAAGAAAATTACAGACATGTTTCTAAGACAAAATAAGTTGTATTTTAATGATTCATTAAACAACAATGCAATTTTTGGTTTATATGCAGTTCTATTGAAGATGTGTTTCTAAGAGTAAATAGGGTATGAGAAATAAGTATAATCAGAGGTACATTACTTGGGGTTTGCAACGCGCATAGTACTGTATGGTGACATGTCAGGATCCCATTCAAGTCTCATCTTGTAGATAGCGAGACTGGTGCTACGACCTTCTGACATGACATAGGCGGTTTGTAATAGTGAAAAAATGTAATACATCGAAAATGTACAGAAAATATAGTTATCGTAATCCGTCATATCGTGAGCAGCTATTTTGATCCACCTGGACATCCCAGTATCCTAGTTACCTTGGAACGTCTATGCGAGAGCGAGATTGAAACGGGATCTTGGTATTATGTCACCGTAGTTGCAAACCCCAAGTAATGTACCTCTGGTGTAATATATTATATGTGCAGTTTTAGACTAGCTAGGTTTGAGTAGCATAGCATCGCCCATCCCTGCTGTATTATGGATTGGTCTAAAATAAAGGTAAAAAAAGCTGTCTTATAGTGAAGAATTGTGGTGGGGAATCTGTGGTGGAATACATGTTGTATGATGTCACTGTCTGAAAAACATAGAGACTTACATTATGATTATCTTTGTGTAGATTGCTGCAGGTCATGTTGGGCTTGCTCAGAGAGCCTTTGATGAAGCCACTAAATATGCACTGGAAAGAAAAACTATGGGCAAAGTAATTGCACAGGTATATCATTGGAATACAATTGTATGTGATGACCAGTTAATAACACAACAAATCATGCAATGTTAGATTAGTTTCAGCATTTTTCAGGTCAATCCATGGCCAACATGTACCAGCATAGAAAGCTTATTATTTCATTTATCAACACATTATACTACAATAATATTATCTTTTTATAGCATCAAGCTGTAGCTTTCATGTTAGCTGAAATGGCAATAGGAATCGAGACTTCGAGATTGGCCATCTATAAATGCTGTTGGGAATATGATCAAGGTCATAAAAACACATACTCGGCTTCCATTGCCAAAGCATGGGCTGCAGATGTTGCTAATAAATGTGCTACTGATGCCGTACAAATATTTGGTGGATATGGGTATAATAGTGAATATTCAGTGGAGAAACTGATGCGGGATGCCAAGGCATTTCAGGTACACAAAAAATCACCAAATATTGTCATTATTATTTTCTGGATGAAATGGGGACATTGGGTATATTTAAACATTTTTTCCGAACTTAATGTAGGATAGCATACATACATTTCTGATCTTGTTTTTCTATCAGAATAAAAATGGCTGACTGGCAGCCATAATTGTTCCAATATGGCCTAAAGTGTTTTGTTTCTCAGAGTTCCAAAGTTACTTCTCAAATTTGGAATATTGATAAAACCTGGTGGCATATATATTATCGAATTTTGTACGGCAACCATTTTGAAAGATAAACAATATTTCAGTTTGTTATGTTATAAATGATGACAATTAAGTATGAATTGAAGTATGATAAAAAAGTGCTGTGATGTTGTCAGTGGGTTGTGTTATAAGGAATACCTTTTTTGTTCAAAACATGGAAGGGTAGGTTTCAAAAATGCTGATTAAATGAATTTTTTTGTCGTAGTATTGTGGTGAGAAAATTATCTTTACCTGTATTTGTTACAGATTTATGGAGGAACTACTCAGATTCAAAGAATGATCATAGCAAGACAATGGATTAATAAAGTCAAGCTTGGAGAACATTAGGTGTGCAGGAACTTGGTATAATAGGGATTGTGATTTTATCGAGTGGTCATTTTGTTGGAAACAGAAATACTATATTTGTATATAATACCATTACATATTTGAAAACCAATCAATGGTTTAGTAAGAGTTAACAGTTTCCATCAATTGTAATACACTGGAATATTCCATCAATAGGCAATTTTTCTTTCACTGGGAGATCTTGCATACTGCATAAAGGCACGAATCTGCTACAGAAATCAAGTAATTTGGACTTATGTATTGACCTCTGTGCGTCCGTCCAATATCTTAGACATGCCTAGACATGCCTGGACTGATTATATTTAAACTTCACACATACATCATATGCAATATTATACGCACATCAATTTGTTTCATGATCTAATTCAAGGAGGCCGAATGGCGACCATTTTTGTACTGAAAACAAGCTTTTCTGGCATCCAGAAACCAAATCTTGGCTATTTACAGTACCGGTAAATTTTGTTCGATGGCTGACTGGCGGCCATTTTGTTCCAGAGCAATATCTCTCAATATAGTCAAGTACTCATTTGATGGTCAGATACAAGATGACTGAATGTCAATCATTTTAATCTTAAAAAAAATCATAATCAAGCATCAACTTCTGGATCCATACCTCTGACATGTTTTAATACTATATTACTATAATAATAAACTATTATACATCTTAAATTTGATAACTAACAGGGATTGTGCCATGTGTGGCTTGTTATGTCCAATTTCATGCATAACATGGGGTCTCAGTGAAGGAAATTGGTCTATTGTAATACACTGAAATATTCTGTTTTTTCCATCATTGCATTCTGGTTGGAAAAAATGTAAACATATGTCATATTGCAACTATGTGAAATGGTTATCAATATTGATGTTGAAAACTAGCAGTATTTCACCAAATGTGATGTTGTGACATGTTAACTTGTGTCCTCAAGTACCTTTTATAGAATTATGTATATATGGAGATAGCAATGAAAAATAATACAAATTATAACTGATATATTTTATAGAGTACTTATAATAAATAAAATTTTCACCTCAGTGACAATGTCATTTCACATAGTGAAACCGTATTTACTTTACACCCAATCAACAGTAATATATCTGTTCAATCTCTCGGGCATTACTTGATAGTCAAGCCTTAATTTTTACTTTAATTCCAATTTACTTTCCAATTTTTCTGTTATTTCTTTTTGATGCAGACAATGGGTTGGTTGTATTGTTCAAATATTAAAGGAAGGCGTTAGGTCAATTTTCTGTGGGTTTTGAATATTGTCAATTCTGATATGGTCAGAGGCTCAGTTTTCCTTTATTTTATGATTGCTGGTGCAGCAGAGCGTTTACTAACATCAGAGTGGAATGTACATTTGTGGTACCAAGGCTTGTCATTCATTCGTCTGTGTGCATACACATTTGATCTAGAACATAGTCATTCATTCATTCGTGCAATGCGCGTCAATGAAGGACTGTCAAATCTACCTCAATCTAGTGAAAGACAATTTATAGGTGTTAGGAAATCTGTCAATCTCCGGGGGGAATACTTGTTTCATCAATTGAAAAATATAACCAGGTGCTGGAAATTACCGTAATCATCTTAGAAATAGTTCACTGTCAGTAATTTGGAGAAGAAAAGATTTGTTTTCAGCATGCAAGAATAATATCCACAGATGCCTGTGCACGAGTGATGTTTTACCAAACTTACCAACCAATATCTAAGTATACACCCCATAGGATTGTGGGTAATTTGCTTTTATCACAGAGTATTAAAGTAAACATTGGATACGGCTTTTGTATAAAATATTTATTAAAACAGTCTGGACCAGCAGACATCTATCGCAGTACATCAAATAGCTGAAGATGCAATTGTATCAAAAATAATGTTTGTTGATATCTCAAAAACATTTTTATAACTTGAAAAAAATATGTATACTTGTTACTGGTATATAATACACCAATTTGCTTCAAAATTAGTAAAATATTTCAATTAAGGTATCTGGTGATATAAAACAATTGTCATGGTTTATAGATAGAGTATAATATCAGTATTAGTTAAAAAATATATAAATGTCATGTTTATTTCATGAAACAAGTGTTTGTGACAGCAACTGTATATTTGCTTTATTGCACCGAGGTAAAACTGTTATTGGATCAAGTCACTTCTGATACAATCAAAACAAATACTTGTGGCTTGATTGGAGATGGTGTATGTGCTTCCAACATAGCAAATACAATGCTGCAGAGGTCTTAACCTGTCCAATCTGACTTGTTTAGATAATTTAGACCTTACAACTGCCACCTATGAGATTGGTACACAATTTAATACTGCAAGAACTCTACATGCAGTGATATAAAAACCATTTGTACTTGTCAATCTATTCAATATATACATGAAACAATTTATATGAATCAAATGATCCCAACGTTTTTCAACATCATTATCTTAACGGTTTTTAAACCAGCTTGTTAAAAAGCATAACAAGTTTGTAAACTAATTTGCAGTCTCAATCTCAGGGTATATATTTTACATATTGAGTTTTGTATTGAATATTCAATTTTTTTTTTAAATACCCCAATCAAAGAGTTGCGTTATGAACTGTTTGCTTCTATCACATTTAAACTTGTTGCTAAAATATTCACAAATAGATGGTCATAAAAAGTCAATACAAATATTTAAGATATATAAGAATTTTGTAACCATGGCAATAGATTACTGCTTCTCGTAATAACATTATGTACAACTTATTCACACTAAGATTCTTGTCAACAAGATCTTAATATGAAAAAAAAAATTCTTAAACAACTTTAATATAACCTTTTTGACTCCGATTTGTAAAATCATTATTTCTAGTACACATATAATGGTACGTTCCTTTGGTAAACTCCAGTAGAGCTCCCTCATAAGATGCTGGTGCATTGTTCAGTAATTTATTCAGAGCGTCTTTAGTTTCCACGGAATGCTGGTTACAAATGGAACTTTTCATACACCTATAGAGAGAAATATTAATTATAGGTCATACTCTGTATTCGTTGTCTTATCCATCCATGCCTTAACCTATCAACTTCACACATATGTTGTACATTATGCCTCACATGTATGCATGCAAGTTCATTTACGATCTGATTCTAAATGGCTGTCTGGTGGCCATCTTATTTTCATAAATGCATCCCAGATATTGTTTTACTAATATCAGGATATATATGGGAACCTTCATTTTTTACTGAAATGATTAAAGATACTCAACTGGAAGCCATTTTAATACTAAAATTTCAAAATCAACACTAAACATATTGATTTCCAAAATAGGGCCATTTCGAGGTGAAAAAATGTTTATGAACACAATATTGACACCTGCTTTTTTTGGGGCATATTACCTGTAGTATCCAGCCGATGCCATGTTAACGGCTAGATCTTTCGCAGCAACATTTGATTCCTCATGATAAATCCATACAACTTTCACAGAGGACCATAACGTCGTATTCTCATATGGGAGGGGATAATTTTCCAAAGCTTGGTTCATCTGAACAAAGTTATTTCGATCAGTACCTAAAACAGTATGATTATTTTTAGACACAACAAATAAACTTTTAAAGTTTCATGAATTGATGATTTTAACTCTCTGAATGACAGTCAACTTACTTCACCGTTCACAAAATACACCTGCATAATTTTTTCTCCTTTTTTTCCCCAATATTAATAATGTTGATAAAGATATGTAGCCGATGGGAAATCGTGTTCATCTGGACCAAAATTAACAAATTTGGGTTGGAAAAAATATGGCGTTAAAAAGCTGAAGATTCCCAGTTCACTCGTTCAAGCATACAAAATTGTTTTGATTTCTCTGACTCGCAAGATTTGTAAATGTTACTGTCAACCGCTTCAAATTCCCAAGAAAAAAAATGTTTGTGATTGATTTTCGCAAAATTTTTCTTCACAAATGCCATAAACTCCTGAAATATTTTTAGCAGTGAAAATTAAACATTTGACAGTATCTCTTCAAGGGTAAGTCATCTACTTTGAAATTCATGTAAACCAAAATATGTTTTTTTTCTCATCACATGAAACCCTAAACATGGTACTTGAATGAATACGGTATAAAAAAATGAATATTCATGAATTTTTTCGTACCTGTAGTGCCTTGACCATCATCCCCTGTTTGACCATCACCACCTGGATTACCATTATTATGTGTGTTTGACCCTAAAAACAAATTGCATATATAAGACTTGTTGATAGGTGCTACACTATATAATATTGGTCACATTGAATATTACTGACAAAAATAAAAGCAGTTACACACAGTGGTGAGTGCTACGTGATTACTTCCAACTCATTCTGGAATTCCCATTTTTATTCTGTGGGTCACAAGTGTCCAATAAATACTGTGGAGTTTGAATTATTTTTGGTAGTACTTAATTTTCACTGAAAATCACAATTCATTTATTTATTTCTTATAAATCACCATGAATAATACCAATCAAGTAATATTTATGAGTAATACAAACACTTTGATATTGACCAGGTATTTCATAAAACCCTGATAAAATAGTATTTGGGAGAAACTAGGAGGTAGAGGCACTTCCCCGAACTAGTCAGTTGTAAACATTCAGGTTATATTATTTTTCCCAAGTCAAATCTCTTCATTCTTGTGAATTATTCTAGGACTTGTATATAGATGACATGATATTAAAAGCATAACACTGACCATTATGGCTAAGAATTAACCACAAAAGGCAATACATGTATGACGGACACACTGCCTATAAGCAACCTGGAACTTGATGTCAGGCATTAATTGGGCTATACAATGTATTATGTTTGAAGTAAGATTATGAATATTCATAAGTTGATTATTATGTAAATGTTGATAAATCCTTTAGACCCTTATTCATATTGTACATCTAATGTAACAAATACAATTTATTCTACTCACCAGTCCACTGTATGTGAACTAAATCCCCATCTTCTATAGTAAGTCTATTGGGTACAAAGTCGTATTCCACTGCAGGGTACACTTGCACTATGTTTCCTCTTTTACCACGTACATTTAAATTATATATCTTCTTTGTGTCTATGCCTATAACAATAAAACTAGCAGTCACTAGACATTTTGACAACTGAATGTTTTAAAGTATACAGTGTATCATCTAACAGTGCATTATATCATCTACATGTTCTCATTTAAAACTGTGATAGAAATATTTTCTAGCATGCGTGAAAATCACAGAAACGTGACAAATATTGTTATATGACGATGGATCTTATTGCATTGCACTGCACAAGTGAAGTTGATGGAAATTGTCATACAAATAGCCAAATCCCTCAAACTCCATATAAGATTCCTTCAAAATAACTTTGAAGACGTGTACCTAATGCGAAATTATGACTATCAGGTTTAAATTCACAGAAAAATACATGAAAATGTGCAATATGTTATTCTAAAATTGTCATGAAAAAAATGTTGATGTTCAAACGATTAAGATTAGAGATGCAAATCATAAAAACTGTCATCACTGAAATAAGAATGAAATAATCATTGCTTAGAATAAGAAACCATGCATAGCTGAAATCACCACCCATCTCCATTCATGTGGAAAAGGACAGAAAACCATAGCTGAAATCACCACCCAGTTTCACTCATTTGAAATCAGCAAGCCCCTCTTATGAGAAGGATAGGAAACCAGGTAAACAGGTAAATCAGCATGCTATTTTAGGTGAAGTTGAACTGCAAATTACACCTACCTGCAGGTCTTGGTGTCAGTTTGAATACATGTGTACGGTCTTGAAATATACGTCCATACTGAGCAGTATTGATTGCAAGTCTCAGTGGCACGTTAGCAGCACCGATATCTACTGCTGGATTATTAACAACAGGGGATATTACACCTTCTTGTCTAGAAATCAAATAAAAATACACCTCATTTGAATTATGCACATCACAGTGGAATGTATGGTTGCATTTATACTTGCATGCAACTAGCCACTTCTATATCCTTTCATAGCAAGATTTTCCCCCTCCCTGAATTCACTACATGTATTATAATAATCACCAGCAAAAAATGGTGTTTTCAATATTCAGAGACATAGTAGCGATACTCGCTATTGGGTAAACCGTCAAACAGACATTGGCACAGCTTACGCACCATCATATACGCCTATGTCTAAGATTTCAGATATATAGATTGTTATAGTAGCATGCTATATAGTGACTTAGAGAAAGTCTGAATCACAGTTTTTAATGCGTTTTACCAACAATAAACAGAATTTTGTTATCGGTTATGTATGTACTGTTGTCTTTAGTAGTGTGTTTAATATACAAACATTAAAGCGCGGTGGTCGCCGCGCAGCGCATGTTTGAAATTCATGTTAATAAACAATGTATTTTACACGCGTTGTATACGTCACTATGAGTCCCATATCGAACAGGACGCGGCGCGACGACCATCGCCTTTTAGTATTAGATATACAAGCATTCAATACTGTAAAAAAAAAAATAATAAAATAAACTCACGGGTTATGATTATGACTTGAATTGGTGTTATATGGATCGTAGTCATCTGTGGAAATATTGTATCTGCAAGGTAATAGAGTGAAGTGTATAGAATGTACACATTTTGCGATCAGTACAGAATTTGGTCATGTAATATGCATCCTTGTGGCTGATATAAGGTGTAAATGTTCCATATGACAAGGAATTATTGAAATGTGTTCTGTTTGTTTTTATTGGCGGGCCTGGTTTACTGTATATATGACAACATTCAGCACCTAACAATGACAAAGAGACAGCTGTATGCTGACAGGAAAATATAACTCCATTTCCTTTAGATCTAATAGACAATGACAGCTCAAGCTTGATTACCAGTACATAACATACCCCAATTTAGAAACCAGAACTTTGATAGCTATATTCACCAAATTAAAATTCATTCCTACCTTATACGAAACACACATCTTTTGTCCTTTTGTGATGGGAAATGAGGTAATACCCATGTGTAGTTGCTAGCATACCCATCACGATCATTACCAAGATGGTTATCCCGTGTCCATGGTGATTGTTTACACTCTGGCATCTCTAAGGCAACTAAACACTCCTTGGCAATACTTCCATATGGCCTTGCCCAGATATATCTCTGTCCACTACCGGTATGTGATTGGCATTCTTCTTCACTGGTGTAATCTGAAGGCAATAGACAAAAAAACAAAAACATTTAATTCAGGATAATGGAAAATAATATTGTAATATTCAACACATTCGCATCTCTCCTTAACATTAAAACTTTCTTCTTGAAAATAACTACAGTGAAATACTGCAGAATACGAAAATTAAAAAAATCATTTTTTAGCTCCGCCGTCGCTGTCGTCAACTTTACATTTTCGACTTCTTCTTAAAAACCACAAACTGTGTAGCTGTGAAACTTTCTAGGAAGGTACCTTGGGTGCTTCTCTCTGGGATTGTTCATTTCGTGTGGATATGTTCAATTATCTTATTTATAGCAAATATTTTTGTTATTTTTGGTCAAAAATGCTATTTTCGACTTCTTCTTCAAAGACTGCTAGCCAGAATGCTTTGATACTTGGTATGTAGGTACCTTAGGTGGACCTCTCTCAGATTTGTTCATTTCATGATGATATCTTTAATTCTCCAATTTTCATGAATATTTTTGTCATTTTTGGTAAAAAGTGATATTTTCGACTTCTTGTTAAAAACCGCAGGTCCAATTGCTTTGATACTATATTTCTAGGTACTACATGTGGTCCTCTCTCAGATTTGTTCATTTCATGATGATATGTTTAATTCTCTAATTTTCATGAACATTTTTGGTAAAAAGTCGTATTTTCGACTTCTTGTTAAAAACCGCAGGTCCAATTGCTTTGATTATATATATACTACATAGGCATACAGGTAGACCTCTCTCAGATTTGTTCATTTCGCGATGATTTTGTTCTTCAATCATCTAATTTTAGTGAATATTTTTGATAAAAAGTCTGATTGCTTTAATACTATACATATTGTTCATTCTCTAATGATATCTTCTGTTCTTTAATTGCAATGTGCATTGATAACAGCGGAGCTATCTCAGCCGACAGGCTGCTTGTTTTCTACTTTCTTTGCATGTTTAGGGTAGTTAATATTCTGTGAAACCAAATTTTAGCTAAAATAATATAATGTACAGTGCTGAGAAATTCAAAATGTTTGGCCTCCAAAAAAAAAAATTTCTGAGTGGTTCCCCCCCGACCTATTGTGTCGTATATACAATGTATACATATATATTTGGTTATGTTGAATACATGCAAATTGGGTCACCTATCACAGAAAATTGTACATAAAAAGTATTGCCCACTAATCAATACAATGTATATGGGCTATTCTGGATATCTGAGCTTTTGGGAGATTAATCAAAAAGTATGACATCATCAATGATGTCACTACTATTACTGTAGCAAATGTAGAGTTCAACTAGTTATGAAAAAAACTTAGAAGCAGTTTTCACTCACACTATACAGTCTGTTGTTTATTTAAATGGTACTTAACAAGATCAGGATATTTTTCTTTGGCCAAGTCTTTGTTTAGCCCACAGAAACATTGAGTGACAAAAATTGAAAGCATCCTAATCAAGCTATGAATATTATCACTTTGGGGATATTTATCCTGATAGAAATAGACATATATTCCAATCAGGACATATATCCTGGTTGACAGTAAGTTAGTCATGACTATTATAGAAATAATTTCCACCTTACCTGGAGCTTTTTCAAGATAGTTAACAAATCCTAACCAGTCCCCATTATTGTCCAGGCAGTCTTTCTCATTATTCCATCTTGACCAATGTTTTGCTTGTGTTCTTTGAGCATTGTAATATTCAACACATTCGTATCTCTCCTTAACATTAAAACTTTCTTCTTGAAAATAACTACAGTGAAAAGAAAACTGATTAGATTTTCAATTTATCAAATTTCAGTTTTAATATTATTGAAGCACAGTCCCTCTATAGACCTATCTGGAAACGGCTATTGTTCAAAGGTGTGAATGGGACCAAAGTCTAAAACAGTGCGCGAAGCATGCTCAGCTGATCACTGTATCCTGTTTGCTGCACACCACATACTATTTCACCGCTATTGAAACTTATTATTCAGTACTATTCGGTTGGGGAGTGAAATTTATATTTATTTTTTCAGTATTAATTGATTTATTATGAACTATTATATAATAGGCCATTGTACTCATTTAACGTTTTGTATTTGTGTAATTTGCATTCCTGTTAATAAAACAACTTTTGTCACAACAGATCACGAGCTAGTGCTGATCAGTATTAAAGCAACATTAAGTTATTCGACATTCGCATGCTGGTTGACAAAAATTAAAACAAATGACATCAGAGTGTGAGGCCTATACACAAATCAAAGCTCTTTAATGACGCACAGACACTATTGAGTAAAGTTATCTAACCTGCACAAAGTGGTTTCCTGTACAAGTACTGAAATATCTCTCCATGGTGATGGATGCCAATAGGGATAATGATCTCTTTCTTCAGGACATTCGTAACCATAGCGATTACCATTTGGATTCTGTCTTGTGTAGATTGCTGAACTGTAACCATTGTCATTATCTTTTAAATTTTGGTCAGCTGTAAACAAACCTGACAAAAATAACAAATATATGCAAATAAATCTAATAATGAATTTTAAATTCACCAAAATTTTGTACCTACTACCAATAACACTGCAGCAAAAAAATCATTCTCATTCTACAATTAAAATGTATCCAGCAATTCTAATCAATCATCACTATGCACCATGTTACTGTTTTTATACATCATTATTATTAGTACAGCCCTCTACTTCTTTGAAGTAAATGGTACTGCGTTCATGGAGAGAGAATATTTTGATTAGTGTTCATTCGTCAATGAATAATATTTTTGAGAGAGATTCGTGAATAATGAATATTAACACACTGAAGCAGAGTTGTAGATTTCACATTGCTACATTCACATTCACAGTATTTCCTGCATGGTTGATGCAGATTTGTTAGCACACGTCATACTAACCTTTGTTTCTTTCTCTGTTATAACATTTATCATACCATTCCCATTGTTCTTGGATCACTTTATCAGAGCTGACATCACCATCTTTTCTGTTTGTTTTGTCATTTTTACTTTCATCCAATTCATCATCAATGGGTGTGTGTTCCTGAGAGTCGGTGTCTTTACCATTGCGTAGTGTATCATCATTACCTTGCATGGGATGAAATAAATTATTATTTCAGCAATACATTTAAAACAAGCAGCCTGTTGGCTGTAGCTCCGCTGTTAGCAAGGCACATTTCAATTAAAGAACTGAAGATATCATTAGAAAATGAACAATATGTACAGTATTAAAGCAATCAGACTTGTGGTTTTTAACAAGTCGTCGAAAATATCACTTTTTACCAAAAATTGCAAAAATATACACCAAAATTAGAGAGTTAAAGATATCATCAAGAAATTAACAAATCTGAAAGAGGTCCACATGTAGTACATACCTATATATGTAATATCAAAGCAATCAGACTTGCGGTTTTCACTAAGATGTCAAAAATATCACTTTTTACCAAAAATATTCACCAAAATTAGAGAATTGAAGATATCATCACGAAATGAACAAATCTGAGAGAGGTTCACATGTAGTACCTATATATGTAATACCAAAGCAATTGGACTTGCGGTTTGAAAACATTCTGACTTGCGATTTCAAAGAAGAAGTTGAAACGGTAAAGTTGACGACGCCGGATGACGACGGACAATCAGTAATATAAACAGCTCCGCTCTGTCGACTTTGTCGTCAGCGGAGCTAAAATACTAGTAGCGAGGTCTAATGTACACCAGACTTTATAGATAAATTTATAATTTTCTTGTGAATACAAACAAATATTTTTTGTTTTATAAATCTGACTACTGTAAAATACTGTTTTCACTGTTTTCGCTGAAGGAATGATGCAGTGAAAATAAAATCCAGCAAATATACCCTTTTCCTATATTTTACATTCAACTTCTCAGAAATCAGTGAAAATAAATTCCATACAAAACACCCAAAAAGTCTTTTCAGCAAAGATTAATTCCGGTTAAGATATAGTATTTTACAGTAACTAGTATTCATTTGCAAGCTACGCAGGAATAAGAGATTAATTCAATTTTATCAGTTCTGATAATATAATCATACCTGTTGCTGAACTGACATCATCTTGACACATGTATTGGAGAACAAGATGACAATTGGTTTTATGTGGATCATCATCCTCACTCCCACCACATCCATGCTGATTGGTCCATTCAATAGTCAGGTGACTTTCACCAGTACCTTCATTCACTGCAGAACCACTCTGAAAATATTTCTATGAGAAATAATATACAGATATATTTCATAAAAACAACCTGCATAATAATTTTCAAATGTTTAGATAAAAGGCAAGTGACTGAAAGAAAATTGAGTCAAAATTACGGAAGAAATTACAGAAAAATGAATGAAAATGTGGCACAAAAATAGAGTCAAAAAATTTTATGATGTTCATATTGCACTATGCAGGCAATTTTGCACATAGTCTTAAAGCAACAATAGCTCTGATTTTTTTGTTTATAAAATATAATCACATAAAGATGACTAAATCATATTTTGTTTTAGATACAATTGCATGGTGACCCTACACAAAGTGAATATCACATGAATTGCAATGTAAAAATTTTGTTGCAATCAGTCAATCAGGAGAGGACAGTAGAATATCATGATGCACAACTTACACTGTTGTTGAAAATTACACATAAAACAATTAGAGGAAAACTTAGCCTCTCAAGATGGCAACATATTAGACAGTAAAGACACAATCAGAGATTACAGCTAATTTATCAGGATTCAA